AAGGAGCTAGGGACGTAGGGGATGGGGTTGTGGGGTGGGGTTTGTTTTGATTTATGTTTTTTTATTCAATTATCCATATGTTATAATTGTGTTTTTTGTTGAAAAATGCAAAGTTTTATCAATTTAGAATTAGAGTGTGTTTGAGTCACATTATTTTGGAATAATATATTTTAGAATATTAGATTGATGGGGAATATATAGTTGAAAAAGAAGAAAAAGTTATTGATAAGGTGAAAAATATTATTTTATTCAAGAATATATGATTGAAAATGAAAATTTTAATGTGCCTCAAATATGAGCTTAATCAAAATTATTGTCAATGTTAATTCTTTGTTCAACTAACGGTCAAACTAACATATTCCATTCATTTGGATTTCAGCTACTACATTTTGAAAGATTTGATATCATGAGTGATACAAATGAAAAGTTTGAGTCAAGTCTGTATAAAAGTGAAATGTTTGGTATAATGGCTGCAAGTTTTCCAATTATAAATGATCAAATTTTAAATCACGTTACCATGGATCTACATCTACAATTACTATCCATTCGTCAGAATTTATCTTCGTCTATTTATAAATCAAGTCCCTGTTTGACAACCGTTAAATTTTTTTAATTTTTTCGAGAAAAACGAATTTTAGAATAATGATTTTTTTATTTTTTAAGAATGTATGATTAAAAAAAAAAAGTAGAATTTTTTTTAGGTTTTATGCACCATAAGCCTTGTTTGAGCCACAGTAAAATTTTTGTTCTCATTCTTCTACTCATTTTCAACAACACATTCTTTAATAAAATAATATTTTCCATCAAATCAATAACTTTTCCATCATTTACAACAACACATTCTCTATTAATATACTATTCCAAAATATATTCTTTCAAAATAATGTGGCTCAAATACAATCATAATATTTTATTGTGAGAATATAATTGAAAATGAGTTTGAGAAAAAAAAAAGTTTTATTTTAATGGTTGTCAAACATGAGGTTAAACTATTTATAGTCCCTGTTTGGACTTCATTTTTTCATAAACTTATTTTCAATCATACATTCTCTTATAAAATTATTCTACACGCACTTTTCCTTATTTTTAACTACATATTCTCTAAAAAATTGTTATTGCATAAACGAAAACATGTTATTAACTTATTATGTCCTGTTTGGTGACTCCGAATCAATCAAGATGATCAATTTCAAGCTTTTCTTGCCGTGGTACTCTTTTCGTCTGTGAACATGTTGATTCCACGACAATATTATTTATAAATAACTTATTTTTAATGACAACAAACCAACAAAATTCTATAAAATTAATTTTCTTATTAATAAAATTTTCAAAACATGTTGTTAGGGAGCTTATACTCTTTACTATTTTAAAGTACCTATTGTCCAATGATCCAAACCCAATAAAAGACAAAATCTCTTAGAAGTAAGATCCAAAGCTAAAAACGAACCTAGATCTTTGAGGAGGTTGACGACTATAATTTTGTCGGACTAGCAAAACTACCTTTTACTTTTATTGTACACATCTAAAAAACAAAGCACCATATTAGGATTTACGGTTTAGGGTACAACATAAATTCGAATAGGTAGATATCTCACATAAGTTCTCACTATTCACTACTGGGTCCTAAAGTTGGGATTGAGCTAAAAGCTAAAGGAATTATAGGTATCATACATAACAACCATAATGTTCGTTAGACATGCTTTTGAAAAATCAACAGTTGCTCTCAAAACTAAGAACCTACTTTCAGATCTAATGGATGACTTTTTAGAAGTATTTTATTTGATTAGAACTTAGTGCGTCTCCCTTGTAAAACCATTCTACTAAAAGTAGAAATGAAGGCATAAACAAAAGTGAACCCGAATGAGCATGACAGCGATAGACCCAACACCCTGCGATAGGGATGGCAAAAAAATTCGACAAACCTGATGCCTGCATTCGGGGCGGGGAGAACCCGCTTAATCGGGTAACGGGGTGAGGACGGGATGGGGAATTCTGCCCCGAGGCGGGTTCAAGGTGGGGACGGGTAACGGGGGCCCCGCCCGGTTAAATTTTTTAATTTTTTTTAGAATTCAATATTTTAAATGAAAATTTTCATTAGTTCTAAAAGAAAATAACAACTAAAATTATTTGTCTCAATCTAATAAATATGGACAATAAAAATAAATTATCAAAAAAAAAAATTTAATGGGGAGTAAACAGGGAAAGGCCCCGCCCCGCCCCATTGCCATCCCTACCCTCAAGGGGGCACTGTCGAGCATGCTGGGCTCCTCCAGAATAGTTAACATGGATAAAGAAGGAGACCCGCACGTGGGAGGCGATGGTTTGGCTTCGTCTTCCGATTTTTTTTATTTTATTTTTTTTTAATTGGACATTTGCATTTGATTGGGCTGAAATTATAATTTAATTTAGTTAGGCCTTTTCTTTTCAATTGACCGGCCCAAATCAATTATATATATGGTCCACGGGTCCGTTCATTTCACGACAGTTTCATTTCCTTTTTCCAAAATTTACATGGTTCCAACACTTCCACCAACACCTGCCTCCCGATGACACCTCCACCAGCGTTGGACGACTCGAGTATCGAAAGTCGGAAGGTCAGAAACATGTTGTTAGTGCTACCGACTATCGCCGTGATCGTGATTTTGAGCCCGTAAGTTTTCCGACTCTCTTTCTTTTTCTTTTTTTGATTTTGGTGTTATTTTTTATTTATGAGTTATAATTATCTTTTACTTAAAAATCATGGTTTATGTTCTATGAGTTAATTGACAATTTGGCATTGAAATGAGAATTTGATTTGTGAATCCGTGAATTGTGCTTTCGGATAAATAATTTGTGTTGCACTATCATTGAATTATGACTTTATCGTTTATGAGTTTTGATTTGTAATTTAGGATCATTGAATTATGAATGTCCTTGATCATTAAATTATGAATTATCTTTAATCATTGAATTATAGAAGAAGCCAAATTGTCAATATGCTATGAGTTTTTAATCAATTTTAAATTAAATTATCCTTAATAATTTGTTATATTATTATTCTTTCACTCTATCTCATACTTTGTAAACGATCTTACTATTACGATCGTTGGAGGCTGAGTTCATTTTCTGGATTCGCCACTGAGCATGATACGTGGGGCCCTTGGGTTATAGATGGCCACAGCTTTATTGCGAAAATGAAAGATTACTAGTCTTTCCCCCGTGCGATGCATAAATTTATATTAAGTGATAAACAATTCTAATATGAGAAACATATGCTAATTGATACATAAGAAAATAAAATTCTTATATTGATAGTACTTTTAGATTACCTTCGCGTGTTTAAATTCTTCCAGAAGCAGTACTCAAGCTCCTTCTCCCATGACAAACCCATCACGGTTCTGTCAAAGATTACAAAATTTAAGTATAAGGATATTGCTACTGTGAATCAAGGAATTACTTGTGTCATTATCAACCATTAGCTCAAGCTTGTCCCTGAAATAGATCAAATCACTATTATTCATCTAATTTTGGCGCCATTAATCCAATTAAACCAACAGGCAATAATATATCTACATGGCAAGTGGGATTTTTAGTAGTTTTCAAGTAATTTACACAATGAAAATCCATTTAAGGCACCATTCTAGTGCCTTCGCGTGCGGAGGCTGGCGTGCCTTCGCGTGAGGAGGCAGCCTCTCCACTTGGAGATCTGGAGCCTCCGCGTGCAGAGGCTGCAGTCTCCACACACGGAGATCTGTGTCCTCTGCGTGTGGAGTGAATGGGTAATTTTAAATAGAATCCTGCAAAAAAACATGCAACAAAACTATACAAAGTAAAGAATGATGGAGCTATAAAAAATCTCAAGATTTGTTCGGTAAAGTAGATTGAACAGTAGTAAACATGTGCTTAATGTATAATGAAGATTGAATGCATACCTATGAACTCTTGCTACATTGAGTATCCTCATGATGAAAGCCAGTCCCTTTTTCTACATACCTTCACTCTTATCTGTGGATTTCTTGGACCCAATGTGAGATTTTCTTAACCCCAAAAAACCATTTCTCCATCTGGTAAAATTCCTTGGAGGCCTCAATGAAAAACCCACACCTTCTTCTCCTTCTTCTTCATTCTGCAACTCGTCTCTCAGAGTTGTAGTCTTTTGGCTTGAACTTTCCTTAAATGGTAAGAACCTACCCTTAAAGAAAAGCTCATCGGCACTCATCATTGAATAATTCCCTAATCTGGTGCTGAGAATGGCTATGACTATTGCTGGAGTCAATGAAGTCATTTGAGAAAATTTGAGGGCTTATTGGAGGAGCCCCGTCGACCTTCGGGTGCGGAGGCAGTAGCTCCGCACGCGGAGATCTGGGTCCTCCGCGTGCGGTAGCTCCTGCCTCCGCACGCGAAGGAACAGTTTCCTCACAGTGGAGGCACCAGCCTCCACACGCGGAGGATCGTGCGGAGGGCGGTGCCTCCGTGGGCGGAGACGTTGGCGATGTCTCAGAGTTTTGTCTTTAATTTAAAAATTCATACCTAACAATACCAAATACCCATTATCAACCATTATCTCAATCCTGTCCCTGTAATAGTTTAAATCACTATTATTCATCTAATTTTGGCGCCATTAATCCAATTAAACCAACAGGCAATAATATATCTACATGGCAAGTGGGATTTTTAGTAGTTTTCAAGTAATTTACACAATGAAAATCCATTTAAGGCACCATTCTAGTGCCTTCGCGTGAGGAGGCAGCCTCCGCACTCGGAGATTTGGAGCCTCCGCGTGCAGAGGCTGCAGTCTCCACACACGGAGATCTGTGTCCTCTGCGTGTGGAGTGAATGGGTAATTTTAAATAGAATCCTACAAAAAAACATGCATAAAAACTATACAAAGTAAAGAATGATGGAGCTATAAAAAATCTCAAGATTTGTTCGGTAAAGTAGATTAAACAGTACTAAACATGTACTTAATGTATAATGAAGATTGAATGCATACCTATGAACTCTTGCTACATTGAGTATCCTCATGATGAAAGCCAGTCCCTTTTTCTACATACCTTCACTGTTATCTGTGGATTTCTTGGACCACCAATGTGAGATTTTCTTAACCCCAAAAAACCATTTCTCCATCTGGTAAAATTCCTTGGAGGCCTCAATGAAAAACCCACACCTTCTTCTCCTTCTTCTTCTTCTTCATTCTGCAACTCGTCTCTCAGAGTTGTAGTCTTTTGGCTTGAACTTTCCTTAAATGGTAAGAACCTGCCCTTATAGAAAAGCTCATCGGCACTCATCATTGAATAATTCCCTAATCTGGTGCTGAGAATGGCTATGACTATTGCTGGATTCAACGAAGTCATTTGAGAAAATTTGAGGGCTTATTGGAGGAGCCCCGTCGACCTTTGGGTGCGGAGGCAGCAGCTCCGCACGCGGAGATCTGGGTCCTCCGCGTGCAGTAGCTCCTGCCTCCGCACGCGAAGGAACCGTTTCCTCATAGTGGAGGCACCAGCCTCCACACGCGGAGGATCGTGTGGAGGGCGGTGCCTCCGTGGGCGGAGACGTTGGCGATGTCTCAGAGTTTTGCCTTTAATTTAAAAATTCATACCTTTAGTGTGCTGTGCTGCGATCTGTGCTCTGCAAATTGGTGCTGTGTGACTTGTGATTTGCAAACATATGATATTTTGGCAGGAGGAAGAAGATAATATATATTTATGTTAATTTCACAAATAGTCATCATTTAATTCCTGTAAGTACAAAATGGTACTAACTATTTACAGTTTTCTTTT